GAAATAGTGAGAATTTGTCAAATGGGAGCTTGTATATATATATATGCTTTGAAATTTGCTGCAAATGGAGTTGCAGAAAAATGTCTTATTGGCTGATTATTTTGGTGTTCATCGGCTTGATGTCCTCTGTGAATACAGGGGGATCCGGAGTTCTCAAACTTAAGCATCGATTTTCTGAGCTTGAAGGATCGAGCAAGCAGTCTGGGAAACGAGGAATGAGTGAGGAGCATTTTCGCCAGCTTATGGACCATACCCGAGCAAGGAGTCGACGCTTCCATTTGGAAGTCGACCTCATGCTGAATGGAAGTTCCACTTCCGCTGCGTAAGATTGGAATTTGTACCTTAAAAGGGTTTTGAGGTTAATTTTGTGTTCAAAATTTGTGCAGAACTTATTACGCTCAGATAGGTGTCGGGCATCCCGTCCAATTCCTGAATGCTATTGTGGACACAGGGAGCGATATCTTATGGTTCAAATGCAAATTATGCCAAGGTTGCTCCAGCAAAAAGAATGCCATTGTATGTTTTTAGCGTTCTGCCTGGAAATTTTTTCTGAAGGTCTGTGGTTCTATCATCATGCAGGGTCCAATTACACTCTATGACCCGGAATTATCAAAAACGGCATCCCCAGCTACATGTTCGGATCCACTGTGTTCAGAAGGCGGTAGCTGCAGAGGCAACAGCTGCGCATATAATATCTCATATGAAGACACCAGCAGTTCCACAGGTACCTATTTCAGAGATGTCGTGCACCTTGGAGACAAAGCTTCATCGAATACTACTATGTTCCTGGGGTACTCCCGGACAAGCTTTTTTTTGCAAGATTTGAACTAACGCTTCCTTTAGCTGTGCAACGAGTATTTCGGGACTTTGGCCGGTGGATGGTATTATGGGATTCGGGAGGAGTAAGGTTTCGGTGCCCAACCAACTTGCTGCTCAGGCAGGCTCATACAACATTTTCTACCATTGCTTAAGCGGTGAAAAAAAGGGCGGCGGGATTCTTGTGTTGGGTAAAAATGATGAGTTTCCTGAGATGGTCTACACACCTATGCTTGCAATAGACGAGTACTAGCATTTGGAATTGTCCATCTTCGATGCTTGACTTTGGTTCTATATGTTTGCAGTGTCGTGTATAATGTGAAGCTGGTTAGTCTTAGCGTCAACTCAAAAGCTCTCCCAATTGAGGCAAGTGAGTTTGAGTATAATGCAACAGTAGGCAACGGCGGAACTATCATTGACAGTGGCACGGGTAGTGCTACATTTCCCAGCAAGGCCCTCGCGCTATTTGTAAAGGCCGTAAGTGATTAGCTTGCTTCGTTAAGTACCGGCTTACTCACTTCTAAGAACTGCAGGTCTCAAAATTCACCACTGCAATTCCGACTGCTCCACTCGAGTACAGCGGTTCTCCATGTTTCATCTCCATTTCAGACAGGTACGGATTAGTTTTATCCTGCACTTTATTTACTCCCAGGAACAGTGTGGAGGCAGATTTCCCGAATGTGACACTTAAGTTTGATGGCGGAGCAACCATGGAGTTAACTGCTCCCAATTATCTCGAGGCCGTAGTTTCTCGAAAGGTACTTCGTCTGGTTCTCGTGCGTATCTCTTACTTACAGCTTTCTGAATCAACTCACTTTCAGGGGGTTAGGCTTGTATGCATCAATTGGGCTGTAGGCAATTCAACTATCCTTGGAGGTACTCAGTAACTTCCTTGCTTAGTTGCAAAATTTTGGACCAAAATTGATTGCACAATTTTGGTTTCATGTATGTTGCAGATGCAATTTTGAAAGACAAAGTCGTGGTGTACGATATGGAAAAATCCAGAATCGGCTGGGTGAAACAAGACTGTAAGTGGATGTAGGATTCATTACGACAGTGTCTCATGGCTCCAACCGCTTTACTCCTGTAGGTTCCAAGTACAAGGTAACAATGGGAACCTGAAGCTATCACTTCAGCAGTGAACCGAAGTTACCTCCTTGTCAGCTGGGCTGGCATAACAATAAAAACTACAGACCAATGCGTCTCCAGACTCTCCACTGCATACACTTTATTAGTAGAAATGAATAAAGTGTGGATAATGAAGAAATGTCCATTTGTCAATCTAGAAACTTGTGGAGGAGCAGTGGCTGGATGCTTGTTCACAAAAAATTCAAGGCTAAGGAAACGAGGCACACTCTGGAACAGGTACAAGTTTCTTTGATTTCTGTACCTCTTATGATTTGCTTGTTTCATGTTTTTTTACAGAAGGGCTTTCTCCCTCCCTCAGATTCGGGACTACAGGCAGGCTTCGCTCTGCGGATAAAAATCTGGATCTTGCCTTCCAGATCGGAATCGATAATGCACTGAGTTACGTAAGGATCCAAATGTTGAGGGACCACGTAAGCGATATACCTGGATATTCGTGGTATGTTCTTTATGCCCTTGTTTACTAATGTATCCCTTATCCTTTAACATAAACGATTAAAAAGATATGAATGAGATGTCATTGGCCTTTAACCTCTGCCTCGCTGGTGACTATGCCTTTGCCAGCAGATGGAGTTGCATGGGCAACATTTCTCTTACAGCATGTAATGATCACGGGAGATGAATCCGTTATTCCACGATGCCTGGTTTGCACCCTGAGATGGATCGAGAGACAAATATCACAAGCAGTTGAAAATACTTCTTCTGCAAATTGCATTCTGAAAGAAAACTCAAGAAAACTGCCCAAGTTGTTTCGATTGGCCAATGAAAGAAAAACATCAACACCACATTTCGTTGGGGTGACATGGTCAACTTTTGACAGTTAACCCGCATCGGCCTGATCGGGTGGCCCAAAAAGTTAACTTCGGTAACTCCTTTCTAAACGCAATTTTAAACTAATGCTATATACCTGCGTCAGCTAAATTCTGGTAGCGTGGGAAATTTTATTATCTCTTCATCTTTCATCTTCGTCGCACCTTTTGCTTAGCAAGAGCTCTTTTAGAAAAAGGGAGGGGAGAAGAGAGAGAGAGAGGAAATAAAGCAGCACTTACGAGTTGATAAGTACCCGACACTCGTCGCTCGCTCGCTCCAGAGCCTTGCTGCTGGTCGCCCCACCACGCCTCTCGACGGACAGCGCCCAACCCTCTGGATCCATCACGCTGCTCTGGCTTCGTTTGCCTCGTTGCCAGCCGCATTGCCGCTCTGGTCGTTCGCGCCCCCAACATCCAGCTTACACAGCGGACAGGACGCATTGATCTTGAGCCACTTATCTACGCAATCCACATGAAAGTGGTGCGTACACGAGAGCTCTCGCAATGGCTCCCCATCCCTGTATCTAGCAAGACATATGCAGCACACCTGCATAGATCACGTCAGGGAGGAGAGACAGAGATAAACTATAGGACAGGCTTACCGCATCATCGGCTGACACGGCACGCTCTTTGTCGGTGCCTGCCGCTACGAAGCCACCCTCATTTGATCCTTCACTATCAGATTCGCTCCCGTCTTTACTCTCGCTCGATGGCCTAGACTTGAACTTGTATGTCGGTAAGGCCGCAATGACCTCGGCGCTCGCGCCTCTATTCTGCGCTTGCTCCTCCCGGAAGCCGAGCAGTGCGATTATGCACGGCAAGCAGCAACATATAGTCGCGCACAGAATAAAGGGCATGGCGTATCCAATGCAGCTAAAAGTAAGGAAAACAATACACAACCTGCAGAAACAGGAAACAAAAATGATGAGGCACAAACAGAGCGCAATGTGTCTCCATACCTGTACAGATTTGGCGCTTCGCGGGACGAGGAGTGTCCGCCAAATATCCACACGTTCCCAACGACGAACCACACCGCGAAGAAGCAATCCAACGCAATCTTGAACTTCTCCACCAGCCTTCCAACACTGATGAATAGATTAGTCGAAGAACAATAGAGAAAAATATAAAAAAGAAAGCAAAAGGAAGCACCATACCCCGAATTGTCACTCGCGGAATCCACGTCCCTTCCTCGCGACCGGGCCCGAGACTCCACCACCTCCGTGGAAGCTGACGGTATGTTCAGCGCAACGTAGGACGTCCCCCTCGGCGATGGCGGAAGGCTCTCTGCGGATGGCGTAGACTGCGAGGGAGACTCGTGTTGGTCGTGAGCTTGAGTCGTCCCATTCCGGTGGGTGTAGCGCCAGTAGAGAAGCGGAAGCGTCGCAAGGCAGCCGGCGGCATAGCCCGCAACCCAGACCGAGAGTGGAGCCTGCGGCTTCTCGTCCCTGGAGAGCGAGAGGACGATGATAGACGCCACGATCTGGCTCACCGTGATGGTCAACTCGATGGAGATCCAGAGGCCCGAGTTGAGTGGACTGATTCTCTGCCTGGGGATTGAGTAGTTGCGAGTGGATCGCGACGAGGATGAGCTGCTGGAAGGGGGAGCGGTGGCAGCGTCCCCATTCCTTTGTGACAATTGTCCTTGTTGGAGGTGTTGATGGTGCTGTGCATTCCCACTGTTGGAAGCCTCGGGCTCTACGTTGACGACGCTGTGCTCTGGCGCCGCCGACGATGAGTGCTGCTCCATCAAGAGAGGATACGTATCTATGTGGCGAGCGTCGGCATCCGAGTTCTCATCCATGGAACTCCGCCGGGATCCTCCTCTCACCCTCTCCGATGCATAATCCTGTCCTGCTGTCAATGCCTCCTTTCCTAATCATCTACGAGCTCTCGCACAGCTTTTCCCGGTGCGCGATGACGAGAAATCCTAGAAACAAGGAGAGATTTCTTCCCACACCTTTGCAACACTTTGGATCTGGCGGTCGATTGCGCGCCGCCGCCGCTGCGTCACGCGCAAGGAGGAGGATCGCCGCGCCGCACCGCTCCAAGCTCCATGGCCTGGCCGCTAGAGCGCCATCGCCATAGGGTTTGCTCTCTCTCCCTCAATGGCAATCACTGTGCGCAATGGAAAGGGTTATTTTTCTTCCCCGTGTCCCGCTTGGCTACGTGTGAATATCAAGAAAAGTGACCACCATGGGATTCGATCCCTAGGTCGATCGCATTTCAAATTCTCGCGAGGGCTAGAATGGCGATGGCGACAGCGGCGGCGATGGCGATGGCGCTGTCGCGGGCAATGCCGCTGCTGGAATCTAACGCCGTGCTGTAGGTGAGCAATGGCTCGATCGATTGCCGCGAGGCGCTGTTTTTTCTTGCAGCTTCGATCGATCGATCGAGAGGGATCTGCGATTATTTAGCATCCACCGATCGGCGCATCAGCTTTTGCAGCAGCCATGTCGAACGTGTAAGATTTCCTTCGCGTGAGAGTTTTTATTTTGGTTGTTGCGGTCAGTTTCTTTGATCAGCAATGGGAGATTGCTATGCGGCAGCTTGTCGATGTTCTTGCGATTGAAGTTCCTTCGTTTTCTTTCTTGGGGCCCCAGGTATGTCATGCTTACCCGGGATGAAAGAAGTGACCTCTTACCCCTCGCAGAATTTGTCCGATTATTCTCGGATATATATCAAGTACTATCAAGTATATAGAATGCTGGAGGATTGCTATCATCAGGTATAGTACTAATCATTATAGAACAAGCAGATGAAACTATTCGGCTCTTGTTTTGTGTGTAGATCATTCACCCTCAAAAGCGCATCGATTGCTTGAAGTCCTTGGAGGCGGTAATTGGGAGAATTCTCGAGCTAAAACATGTAAGCCCGTTCGTGACATATCTCTGCATGCTGCTTGAAACTTGGCTTTCAGTGGATGGTGTTTCTGAACGCCGGGAAGGAGATTATTTACCTGGAAGACCTTTTGGTAAGCCGGATGAGTTTTAATTTTTTTTAATCCTCAATTTACTAAAGCTGATGCGTGGAAGTTCAGCTGAATTTGGAACTGACTCCCGATGCTCTGGATGTGGTTCCGCCTCGTCTTTTGACTGCTGACAACCTCCGGAATCTTGAAACACGAGACAATTTCCTGGTTGCTTTCTATACTATTTTCATTTATCTTCTTTCAGTTCTCGCTCATACGACATTGTCTTATAGATCAAGGTCCTGCAACAAGAGAAGGAACAGCACGAACAAGAAGGCTCTGCCGATTCTCAATCACCAGATAGCAAGTTCCCTGTCTATACACCAGAGGAGGCAATTGCAATATTACAGGTAAGCTATTTACTTTAAAAATCACGTGAATAGTAGCCTTTTATGCCAGGCTAATGAACGAGGCAGGCAAGCACGTCATAGACTTGCTACTTTGGCCAAGACACGGTATGCTAATCATGTATCATGATACACATAACTCAGCAAACCGTTTTTAGATTCACACAAGAAGAAGCTTTGAAAAAGCAACAGGCCGGTCACGAACCTTTAACTCAAGAAGGTGCTGCAGTTGTTATGCAGTCCGCGTATCCTTGAATGTGTACGAGCGCTTCTTTTTTGGCACTTTTCCTTTACTGTGCAAAAGAGCCCGAGGATTTCTAGAAAGGTGTCGGGTAAAACATTCGGCTGAAGACGAGCTTACTCTACTCGGTACATTCTTTCCGAGCGCTCTCTACCTTAAGGGGGAAAGTAGTGAAGTTTATGATTTTCGTGTAAGCTTTCTAATAGTATGTTCTTTGCAGAAATGAATATGTATGAGCGCAACAGCGATCGGGACTACGCCTTCGGTTTTATGAGAGAAACAGAATTGAGAAGAAAGAAGAACCAGCTATTGAGCTATCAGGAATACCAGGACGCAATGGCACTTGCAAAGGAGCAGATTAAAGAGCTGGAGGGACAAGAAATGAGGGAGATAATCCAGGAGAAAATAAACGCATGGCTTAACGCGAACAGAGATCCGGATACTGGCTTGTTTCCGCCCTTTCCAAAGCCAGCTGACGGTGGGAGTAAACTCATAGTCTTTCCGCCGCCAAAGTTCGACTTTGAAGTCGAAACTAAGAAGAAGAAAGATGCTAAAAAGGACGACAAGAAGAAGAAAAAGAAGAAAGCCAGTCCATTTCCTCCGTTGGTGTTCCCTGTGGACGACGAGGAGAAGCCTCCATCGTGTCCTGCATTTTTTCTGCGACACGTACGAGAATCTGTGGATGTTTACACTCATAGCTGGCATGACAAAGACGACTCGGCGAATTTGGCTCAAAAACATGACACTGACAGACTAAAAGGACAGCTTCGACCGATGGTGTTCGAAGAGGTAGGCTCGTAACTACTATTTTTTTGAACATGAAAGTATCTGACTTGTGCTTGCAGATAAGACTAGAAGTTGATCAAAATACACGAGTAATTCTCGACAGAGTCAAGAAAAAAATACTCGCGGAGCTCAAAGCAGCCAGGAAAAAGCAAAAGAAGGGTGCCAAGGAAAAGAGGAAAGAGAAGAAGAAAGACAAAGACAAGGATGCGCCGCCCCCTGCCAAAAAGAAGCCCAAGAAACCGAAGGATCCCACAGCTCAAAGAACAATCGAATCCATATACTCGGAACTTGTGAAAAACGGGATTGTCCAGCTTCTTCCCAAAAGAGAGCTGTCGGATTATGTTTCTACGGAAACTTTCTATGGTCCAACGTTTGAGGTTGATCCGACTGGGTTTGATCCCACCACAGCTCAGGTATTTTCGAGTTTCAGATTCATGACAATCTTGCATCCTTTCCTTTTCTCGTGTCCAGGTAAAGAGAGCAGTTGTGGAGTATTGTATCATGCCTCTCGTGTCGGACTTTGTGCATCAGAATGCTCCGTATATAAAGTCAGTCCTTCTTTACGGGGCAGAAGGCAACGGGAAAACTCTACTGGTATTTTATATTCATCAAAGTTGTAGTGGCTTGAAAAGTTCTTCAGGTACACGCATCGGCACGGGCTGCTGGCGCAGCATACTTCAACTTGTCCCCACAAGTGCTGGATGGAAAATATCCTGGGAAACAAGGTGCCAAGATGCTTCAAATGGTTTTCAAGCTTGCGAGAATAATGGCACCTTCGGTGGTCCATATCTCTGGTGTTGAAAAGGTCAGCAAAGTTTCTTTTTTCTTTTTCCATCCCTGTAGAACGCCACTAACTTCACTTCAATTCCAGCTTTTCGTAACGGATCGGAAAAAGATAAAGACATGGGGCCTCAAGGACAAACCAAACAGAATTAAGAAAGCTCTTACCAAAGAAGTTAAAAACATTAAACCGGGAGAACGAGTTCTCTTCCTCGGGACATCCTCCAGACCACAGGTAATGTCAAACTCGCTGGAAATCTCTAATGCGAAAAGCCGTGCAGGATGCGCCTGGGAAACGACCTGTGTTCCCGAATTTTTTCACCAAGAGGATTTACGTTCCATTTCCCGACTATGGATCAAGGTCGAGGATATGGCGAGCTTTGATCGAGAGGCACGGCGGTGTTGTGACGGAGCAATTCAACTTGTCCACAATCTCGCAACTTAGCGATGGTTTCAGCGTTGCCTCCATTGAGAAGGTTTGCAAAACGGTCCTGACGGAGAAGCGCAAGCGAAAGGTAGCCAGACTTTCTCCTTGTTTCTCCTTCTCGATGGATTCACGCTCGAAACTGTGAATGTAGCTTCGAAGATTTCCACTGACCATCAAGGAAGTTATAAACGACGTTCACAGCACTAAGCCGGTCGATCCAGCATTCCATGAAAGCCTTCGAGTAAAATCTCTCTTTTTCATCTTTCTCTCCAATGAAAGTTCTTTCTTTTTTTCTCTCGCAGGAATGGGCCAAACCGAAAAAACCAGCCGAGAAAAAAGGTGGCAAAGACGCCAAAGGGAAAGGAAAAGGCAAAGGGAAAGGAAAGAAGAAATGAAAAATTTCGCTTATATTTGAGATTTGCCAGCTATAATTGCAAATAGGGTTAGGGTTTGCGGGAAGTGGAGAAGGCGCAGAGCTGGATTCGCGAGGCGCTGGCTCCCGGTGAGCCGCGAGGGTGAGATCGCAGGGATTCTTATGACGCTGTAGAGCGACGCCAGTGATTTCCCAGTCCAGCGGCGTAGCTATGGCCGGATCTGAGGCGCAGGAGGCATCTTGCGCATCGGCGCTGGTGTCAGCTATGGAGAATTTGGGTGTGAAACAGGAAGATGGAGATAGGGAGGAGCTGGCTAAGCCGGAGGAGAAGGATTGCGAGGCGGATTTGGAGAGCAAGCGAGAGGAACAGACAGTGGAGGCGAGCGCAGGTAAAGATTCCACGAATGTAGTCGTGGAGAAAGAGGCCGAGAGCTCGCATGGGATTTCCAAGGAGGAGGGAGATGCTGTAGGCGGGGATGATGAAGATGGCAAGGTTACCAAGGAAGAAGATGGTGATAGTGTGGATAACAAGGAAGAAGACGGTGGAAGTGCTGTGGGTAGTACTGCTGGATCCGACAACAAGGAAGAAGATGGAAGCAACTCTGCTGGAAATGACAATGATTTACCAAAGCCAAGCCTGGAAGACAGTGAAGCTGGAACAGACAAAGGTGACTCCGATCCAAAGGATCTATTGCGGCCTTCTGGTGATGTCCATGTCGTGATGAACGCCGCCACGCTTATGGAGAAGCTAAACATCGCCGAGAGCAGTGATGGAGGAAGCAATGGTGGCGACGACGATTTGAGCAGCAGCGTGGACAGCACTGCCAACAGTGGGCCTCGTCTCGTGGAGGGCGATGGCGAAGCAGCCTCGCAGGAAGATAAAAGTGAGGACTGCTCCGAGGAGGGGTCCGTTCGACCGAAGAAACGCATCGATCTCCAACATCAGTTTGTGCGAGGAATTGTAAGTATTCTTGTTCTTGGTTTTCCTCTTTTCTAACTCCAGCCTGACTGCTTTTCCAGGTGAAGATCCAGTACGACAGAGATCAATACGAAAAGCAATGTCAAACGAAGAAGCATGAGGTAAAATCACAGATGCTAAACTGTGATAAAATCGTAGTTTCTCTCCAGGAAAGGGACGTGAAAACACCTGACAAGATCAAACCAGACGCCAGCGCAAGGAGAACAAGCTCTTCTCGCTCTTCTCCACGGTCGCCACCAGTTCAAACTACCAAGAGGCAGTTTTCGTTTGTGGACTCTCCTCCAGCGAGGCCAAGCGTTAATGCTAGCGAGGATCAACAGGTTGAGAAGAACAAGCACGATCGATCCACCGCAATATATCGGCCACCAAGCCTTCGCAATGTTGACACGGACAAAACTCGGTCACTTCGCAGTCACGAGACAGATGGAGGTCGATCTACTCGCAATGCCGAGGCAGATACAAGCCGGTTTACTCGCCATACAGAGGCCGATACGGCTCGATCATCCGCAGCATCTAGCCGAAGTAACGCATTGAAAGCAGGCTCTCCAGCTCCAGTGGCAAAGTCGCCGGGTCACTCAAAGGAGTTGGACAGGGAGGTTTTGCCGGAGGACGTGAGTATCAGAGTTACCTTCGACACTGAGAAACAGAAGAGACGGATCCAACTCTCCAAGCCGTCGGGTTCACAGGGAAAGGAGGAGAAAAACAACTTCATTGTCACTTTCGACACGACCAGGAAGGAAAGACATATCGAGATGCCAAGCTCAGCTCGCGGTGTGGGTAAGAGCAGCAACCACGATCCTCCTCCCAGCGCGGTGGAGGTGAGAGACAGGTTTTTTGGAGAAGGGCTCAAGCGCAGGGACAGTGGCGATCTTCCAGCGTCTTTCGAGTTCAAGGCCACGGCGTTTGGGAAAGGCCCGAGCGATGAGACCAGAGCCGCCGGAGACAACGCCTTCGGCAAGAGACCCGGCCGAGGGAGCAACAACACCAGGTCGTCCCGTGGATCCAGAGCCTCGGGAAACGTTCGCGTGTTCGAAGTTGGCGCGACACCGAGGCACCCGAGCGGCGGCAACGGCACCACTAACATCCTGGAAGTAAACTCGTCGAAGAGAAACGAGGAGACACCGCTACCGCTACCACCAAAGGACAAGCCATTTGCGGCGGAGCTCAAGTGGGGGGATATCGTGGAGTCGGAGACGGAGCCGAGCCCGACTCCCAACGCGCACGACTCGTTTAGCAGCAGCCCAGCTCCGGACGTTTTGGAGTCCAACCAGTGGCACAACAACGGCCAGACCAGCTCCAGCGGCGGCCGTAAGTCGTCCTCGAGGAAGCACAGGCAGAAGAAAGAAGCGCCGCCGCCTCGCCAACCATCGCCGCCGCCGCCTCGTCAACCACAGATCGAAAGCCCGGACTCGCAAAACGCTCCCAGACGAAGTGTGTGGGAGAGACTTGGCCCGAGGCCGGCAATGGAGGCTACGCGTTTGAGGATGGCACAATACGAGAACAACGCAATGGCGAACAGCTTGGAGAACTTTCGCGAGGCAGCCGAGCGCGAGTACTTGGAGAGGCATGGTTTCGGCGAGCCGTCGGTGCAGGCGGCTTACAAGGACACGAAGCAGAAGAGATCGAGGCTGGAGCTTTACGTGCCTCGACGGGGGGGATCACAGGCTTGACAACGAGCAAGGCACAGGTTTTTCTTTCTTTTTTCTCTTCTTTTTTTCTGCTGCTTCTCTTGCGAGGACTATATATGCCGAGGTAAGGCGCGTGAGGGGCTATATATATGTTTCAAGCAAGGCTCACGGACGGACGTGTTGCAGGCAAGACACAGGATTTACAAAGGTTGTAAATACATACCAGATTATTTGATGGACTTTCGTGTTTCCATTATTATTGTGAACACAACACAATCTGTGTAAGCTTTTCTTTTTCTTCTTTTCATCTTAATGGAAAAAACAAAAAAGATGCTTTTGTAAGAAACATCTTGTGTTACCAGAAGGCCCGAGCTGCGGAGCCGTGAAGAAAGAGTTGTGTTTGCCAGCCTCGACTTTTAAGCTGCGAGAGAAACTCTGGTAGCATCTTGTCGACGCGGGAGTAAGCGTCGCTCAGTGAGGCTTCTTTCGAGGAACACGCTGCTAGAAGCCATCCCCGGACGACGTCTTCGCCACTGGCCGAGTGATGCAGCACCATCTCCGTAGAAGTCTCGTGGAAGTCCAGAAGAAAGCGCTCGCTCTGGAACCTGTGCTTGAGCTCTCTGATCTTGCCGGATGGGATTTGGAGGATGTCGTTCGCGATCCGGACGCTTCCGGCGTGGACGTTTGGTTTCACAGGCAGTATCAACCTTTCCCTGTAGCGTATCTCGGCCGGAGAAGGAACTCTTCCTAGCTGGCATTCATCGCTTAAGCAAAAGTCTCTGGGACATAAATATTTTACGAGAGTACCTCGAGGTAGTCCGCGACGAGCATTGCTGTTCGCTGGGCATTAAGAGTGTCGAGTGGAACAGCTCTCATTTCCTCCATCACACTGTATAAATGAATCACGGACAGAAGAGGTGCTACAAGAAGCTGTGAAAGAAAATTTAGAGAGAACTCACGCTCAGAATTCATACCTTTCCTTGTAGAGAAGTACAGGCCGATGATGCCAAACGAATGCCGACTCCAAGCCCAGCCACATTTGCAAGAGTTGACATAGCCTCACCTTTGGCGTACAAGTCACTAAGGTTCCCTTCTTTCGCAAAAGCGGTGTAAAGAGGCAACCGTGTTGCTCTAGCCGTTACCATTGCCACTCCCTGAAAGCACCATCATTTTTCCACACAGCTTTAAGAGTTCGAGTACCTTTGCAAGGTTTGCGAGTCCGGCAACTCCTAGAAAATATTGGGGACATGCTGGTGAAATCATCTCCAGCGCAGTACCCGCGTCGTACAAAACATCGGCTGCAAAAGAAAAAGAATATAACTTATGAAACTCGAGAACAAAACGCATACCAACCAAAAATTCTCCATCGTTTTGGCTCGGAGTCCATTCTAGCTCCCATTCGACTTCCAACAAGCTTTCCAATGTGCTGCATTCCATCCTTGAGAACCTGGATATCAATCCAGCCATCACTTTTTAGCCATCCCTTGACAAAACTTTGCTCCTCGCTCCTCACTTACCCAGCTAATCACAGTCGCTTGGGCAGGAGTCGGCCTTAAACCAGCGGCAAACACGAGTGACTGAAAAGAGGGAAGTTAGAAAAAGGAACAGGACAAAAAAGACTCTAGCGAGAGAAAAAAATTCTCGGAAGAACCTGTGTGGAGAAAACTGAAAGAATCGCACTGGAGAAATGCTGCAGCGCACGGAACTGCGAATACGTAAGGTAGCCTTCTCCCACACTGCACTGCTCCAACCAGCTCAATTCAATCTCGAAAGAAACGAGCAAAAACAAAAAACAAAAAAAAAGACAGAGAGAAAATGGGGCTCTTTCTCACCTCTGTGGATACCCCACAGGAAAGAATTGGTCAAGAAATCCATCGACCAGCTTGTGCTTGAGCGGCCGATTATCGTCCAGCAGTCGCGCCTGGAAAAATCGCTAAGAAAATTAGTCGCCGGGATGCACTGAAATGGAAATCTCACCTGGAGAGTGCCATCGCCTTTGGACACGTACTCGCGCCTCGCATTCTCGGAGCGCTCCCGCCATAGCTCGCCCATAAACCCTCCTCTGTTTCTAGGGCTTTTATAACCAGTCAGCTTTGATTTAAACACGCGTACCATTCTCGATACAAATCTAGCAAAATCCAGCCAAGTTCTACAGCAAAAACTCACCGATCTTGTCATGGAAAGAGCGCATTTACGAATGCCTCGGCATCAAAGGGTTGCAAATCTTCCAGGCCTTCTCCAACACCAACGAACTTCACGGGAATTCCAAGCTCATCTACAACACTAGCCTGCGCAAAGTTTCCAGGGAAAAGAAACAAACTCTCAGCTGAGAATTTTTTTTAAAATCGAGGACATACCACACATCCGCCTCTTGCAGTTCCATCGAGCTTCGTTAACACAAATCCAGTAACACCAACAACCTGAAACACAGTATTTGCATTAGGAAAAATATCTCCAAACAGATTGTTTCTTACGTCGTTGAACTCTCTCGCTTGAGGAAGCATATTTAAGCCTGTTGTTCCGTCGAGGACCATCAGCACCTCCTGCGAGTTTGTGGTGTTAAACGGATACAATTGAAGCATCAACACTCACATTTGGGGCTCCGGCAAGAGCCTTCCCGATTGCTTTCTTACAGTCTTCAAGCTCATCCATCAAGCTGAAGTTTGTGTGAAGACCTGTCAAAGGAAGAAAAAGGAGATTAGATCTTGAAGCTGCAAACAAGAAGCTAGCTTACTTACGGCCTGATGTATCTGCGAGAACTATGTCGAACTTCTCTGCGACTGCCCGTTTTACAGCTCGTGACAACACTATATTGAAATCATATCACAATGAACGATAAGCGATAAAAAGAAAAAAATCAGGGAGATTGTCGGCTCGTACAACTTACCAGGGGCTGGTTTCTTTTGTCCCTCTTCAGCTCTTACAATATCCGACTCGGTTCTCTCTGCCCATACTTCTAGTTGCTCCTTGGCTGCAGCTCTAAACGTATCACCAGCCGCCATGAGTATCTGCAAACCTTACGTGTGAGCAACTCTATAATTTACAAAGCTCTCACCTTTACACCTTTCTCCTTCTTTAATCTGTGTGCCAATTTTCCTGTTTCGCTTCAAGCAATCAGAAAAAAAAAACAGACTTGAATTTAGATGTGAAAGAGCGTACCTATGGTTGTTGTCTTCCCTCCTCCATTCACACCCACGACCATAATCACAGCGGGGCGTCTGGCATCAAAACAATGGAAAAAAAATTCTATGAGAAAAAGAAAATCGTCGAAAAAACCTGGTCCCGAGCTTGAGGTCGGTGCTACCGGCTCTGCTCGTAAGAAGTTTCACAATACTTTTCTTTAGCGCAAGCTTTAGAAAAAAGAAAAAAAACCAGAAGTTACTATCTCGCGTTTGCAGATCAATTTTCTCACCTTGATTTCTTGTCCAGTTTTGAGCTTTGCGGCTAGAACATCCTTGCGTAGACCATCCACGATTTTGATCGCTGTTCTCGGCCCAAAGTCTGATATGAGCAACGCCTGCATAGGTATTATCAAAAGAAGAAACAAAAGCAAAGAAATTCCATTCCATACCTCTTCCAGTTCATCCAAGAGCTTCTCAGCATCGGACAGATTCCAATACGTCAGGAGCTCGTCCACGACTGCCAGATTCTCCCGCGTCTTGGAGAATCCCGAGAAGAGGCGATCGATGTCGCTCTTGGCCTTCTCCTTGAACACGCGCCCCAGCTTCCCGAAAAACCCAGCCTTGTCGCTGCTACTGCTAGCGCATCTCACCATCAAAACCGCTGCATTCTTCCGCGGCCGCCCGCTCGCACTGAATTGCACCACACCAGCAGCGCTCGCCAAGCTCCCCCGCGCAGCTGCCGCCATAGCTCCTCTCGCCAAGCCCTAAACCCTCTTTCCCGCCATTAACTTTAAACCCTTAAACCTTTAACAACGCTTTTACCCTGTTTCTTAGGGTTCTTCGTTTTCAGGGTTTTCTCGGATGCACGCCATTGATTCATGAGTCTGCGGCAGCCACTGAGCAAAATCTTGAGCTCCAATCGCCCTCCCATGCGCTTGGACACATTCCGCAGCACGAGCTGGGCATCGTCCTCCGTCTCCAAGCTCCGCAGGAATGTCTCTTCGTCGCGCCAGGTATTCCTTGTCACATCACAGGACAAATCCAGGGAGCTCGGCAGCGGCCCACATTCCAGCGCCGCGGCGGAGCTCTCGACACTGGCATCAATCGGCCCCTCGTCGGAGGGCATCAACAATGCTGCAAAGATCGATGCCAGCCGATTTAGAAGCGCGGGGAATGTGGCATTCAAGGAGAACAACGCTCCAGACGTCCACCTAGCTCCCAAGCCACAGAGAATCTCCCCGCCACCGCCGCCGCTCGCCGACAAGCCGAGCGCCGCTGGTGGCGATGGATTCTTCCACTCCAGGCCCTCTCAAAGACCCGACTTCCGTGGATTACCTCTCAGGGACAGGCTCCAGATTGCTCGGAGAAGGCGGCCATACCAGAACTTCCGTGACCCGGGAGCAGCAAAGAATCCTTCGTCTTCTTCTCCAAGTAGCTTCGATCTAATCGTAGCGAACAGGCTCGCAAACGCTCCACCGCCGCCTCCAAAAGAGACCACCGATACCTTCTCGCCGCTCGTCAAGGCCATCTTCGATCTCCTGGATCAAGCTCCACCGGTGGAACAGCCTCCAAAACCAGCTACCGAGCTAGAGCTTGACAACGCCACCGCCGCCACCGCCGCCACGACTTCTCAGGCACATCAAACATACTATCACAGGCAGAGACACAAGTACCGGGTCTACCAGCAAGCTTTCAACACCGGTGACCCTCGATTCGACTCCTTGGGAAGAACACTGTGCCGGATCCTCCGCCACCAGGCCACGCAGCTGAGCCTCCCGATCCGGAGCAATGGCTACGTGAAAGTTGACGACATCCTCCGGCTGACGATCCGGACGCACGCCGGGATCCCCATGAACGAGCACTCGGTGGAGGAGGTCCTCCGGGTGGTGGAGCGCGACCCCAAGCAGCGCTACTCCACCATGATCGAGGGCGGCGAGCTCTTCATCCGGGCAAACCAGGGGCACTCGATGAAGGTGGTGGCGTCGGACGCGCTGCTGACGGAGATCACGTCCGCGGATCAAGTGCCGGTGTGCGTCCACGGCACGTTTCGGTGCTTTTTGCCGAGCATCATGCGGACGGGGCTGAATCGGATGAGCCGGAATCACGTCCACTTTGCGATTGGGCTGCCCAACGAGGAGGGAGTGATCAGCGGGATGATGGACAGTGTGGAGGTTTTGATCTACCTCAATGTGGCCAAGGCGCTCCAGGACGACATGAAGCTGTATATATCGGACAACAAGGTGCTGCTCACCGAGGGCTTTGCCGGGGTCGTGCCGTGCGAGTATTTTGAAAAGGTTGTCGAGTGGCCGACCTTTACTGTGATTGCGTGATCTTAAAAAACCCTAGATCTTCTTTTTCCCCCTTGTATTTTCTTTGCTAGAATATTTGAGGGTTCTAGGCCAAATTTTTGTGGACATCATTTTTATTTTATTTTATTGTGATTGTGAATTAATATACAAAGGTTGTAAACTAATATATTTGCAGGCAAAGGTTGAGAGTGAAAAATAAATTTTGTTTTACTTTTAACTTATGAATTATATAAAATTGCTGGTTTATTTTAAACTTTACTATGCATAAATTTCTATTTAGTTGAGTGCAATCATTTTAATCATTTCTACTTAGCTAAAAACTTCTAAATTTTTATACTATTTAATATTTGTGTTTTATTATATCTGTAAGGTTTATGGAATTGAGTATTTTAAAAATTCATAAAAGAGTTGATAATTAGCTTTTAAAATTTTAGAATAATTATTTATGTTTATTTAAATATGTTAATAATTTTTTGCTTTTGATAAAAATAAAATTTCTTCTATTTATTGTCTAGGTATTCTTGCCATACTTTTTGGTTAAATCATAACTGTTTTTTTAAAATTATAATTAATTAAATAGTTAAAAAATATTATTTATAGAAATTATATATATATTTATCACTTGTTAATTTAAAGATTATAAACTTGTGATTACAAAATATAATTTGGATATTGTACTATAAATTATAAACTATATTAAATAGAAATATTTAATTTTAATATTATTAAAAATGCAGGAAAAAAGAAGAGGCACTGAGATAAGAAGAATAATACGCAAGAGCAATGTAAAAGCACACTGAATAAGTAAGCTAAATCCTGGTCAACAACACCAACTTGCAGTGACCAGGGAAACAAATAGCAGCGGAATAGGGTTACTAAGAAAATTATAAATGTTTCTATCTTTGTGTTTTTTCATAATGTAATCAATTATATCATTTCCTTTAGTGTTAATTACTATTTTATATTTTTGTTTAGGTTGACCTCATCCATTTAGTATGTATATATATATATATATATATATAATCAAGTCATTAAGGGTTTGTCAAATCAAAATTATGAGAGAAGTATATTTTGTTATTTTTTAACTTAAAATAGATTAAAAAAATTTCATGATTTGGGAATATAAATCGAATCAACGGAAGATGATGACCCAAAAATATATTTTAAAAGATTCAAGTAAACTTATGAATGCTAATAAAAAGCATATACACTACTATTACCTCAAAATGCATTTGCTAAGTTTACACTTTGGTTGATTATTCTAGGCAATAACATTTTTATTAATGCCTTTAATTTATTCATCCCTAACATTGTAATATTTATCATTAAAATTATTAATGCTCACAATTAATAAGTAGATATACCACATTAAAATCACATTAAACAAGTGTAATATTAAATGAAGACTTTTACATTAAATCTAAAAATTTTATTACAATGTATTTAATATAATTATGATGTGAATAAAAAATATTACATAATTTAATGTGAATAACTTTTTTATTATAAACTAAGTTCTGAAGATAATACTGTAACTAATATAATTGCCATAGTATCTATAATAATAAGAACGAAGAACCCACACCTCCGCAGCCGTCCGATCCCAGGCCCGGGGCAGCCTCGAAAGCCATGGTTCTTGGCGAGGGGAGGCCAGCCCAGGCTCGGGCCAGGGCCGGTGGCCATGGTTAGCGGGAATATCAGCTCAATGTTGTGGCGGCCAATGGGCGGGATGCACGCGTGGCCGGGAAGGGAAGAGGGCGTGGTGACAGGTGTTATGCCATGCACTCCTAGGGCTCCATGGCTACTCTGGTCAGACACGGTTGTGTGGGCATTCCCGTGAGAGCCTATGCGTGGTAAGTAACAGGGGCGAGAGCAGGCGCCACCATTACGACCTGTAATGTTCTTATCTTCAGTGGGAGCATCAGCAGATGATGACGATGAGAGGCAGATGATCGTCATGGATGGCTGGCTGGAGTTTGAGGCTGCAGCTCGAATCGCTGTGCACATCAAGGAGGGTGGACACACTGCTGAAAAGACCGATGGCTTCTAGCGTGGTAAGAAAAAGTTCCATGTAACTGATTCAATTTCCTTTTGTTAAAGCTATGGCCCCAGTGACTCATGAAACTTTCCTGTAGAGATTTTGGAAGCCACTTCCAATGCACGTAAGTAGAACCGTGCCTGTCGCCGGGTCAGGCTTGATACTAAACTGCACTCCCAGGAATTCTTTGATGTGTTGCAGCATCTTGATACCGTAAGAAGAGAGCTTACCGACCCTGACTTTGGAAACAGCTTCCGGGCACAGAGCACAGAGGATGAACAGCAACCCCTGTATGGCAAACAGGAAAGTTTGTGAGATCGCCTTCTTTCCTTTTCAGCTTCACAGATAGATACCTGGTGAGTTGAATCTACAACTCCTCCCAGCTTTATCTCCTGTAGGAAGGACATGGCTGCTTGCGTCCCCAAGTCCTCTGGAAGCTGGAGCTCGGATGCTCCTGAATGTGTAGCCACGCACTTGGAGCTTAAAATGCAGCCAATGGTCGTTTCTGCCACCAGTGAGATCCCATAGCCCAGAGATCTGTGCCATGACAAAGGAAGCAAGATGAAAAAAGTTTACTTTGCAGCACAAAATCATGGAACTTACTTCCCGGACTCTGAACCAGTGTAGTGATCAGTAAGTGACGAGTGCTTGAGTTCAGGTAAGAAAACATATTTCTGGTGCGTCCACCTCTTTGTAAACCACCCAGCATTTGCTGGGCAAGTACTCGTATTTATATAAAAAGCTTTTATTTTCCTGCACTAAATCAAATTATTCCGTTGACCATTTAATCTTAGGGCGGGTGCGATGACGTCCGGGGCTGGAGCAGCGGGCCACTCGCTCGCATTCCGGGTGATGCGGCTGTGCCGCCCCAGCTGCCAGGTAGATCACCCCCTCCTCGTCGATCCCAGCGACGTGTGCAATGGTGAGGACTCGGTGAATTTCAAGGAGCTGCTGCCGGGGCTTGTCAATGGCAACGATCCGGGCTTCTGGAAGCGATTTGAGCTCCAGGAGCCCATGGATGCGATGGGGCTCTCCGGGCAGCTTGTTCTTCCACAAACTTTCGGGTACTTCTCGATGCATTTTTTGTCAATTCCCTCTTCTTTTTATTTCTCCCTGAAAATGTAGATCGATCTATCTCGGAGAGACGTTTTGTAGCTACATCAGTGTCGGGAATCACACGAATCACGATGTGAGAGATGTGATCATCAAAGTAAGTTCTATCCAAGTTTTGATTCTCTTGTATGACTTTGTGCTCTTTTGTTCTTAGGCAGAGCTCCAGACTGAGCGTCAAAGGATTATTCTAAGCGACAACTCCAAGTCCCCGATCGAGTCCATCAGAGCGACTGGCCGATTTGATTTTATCATCGAGCACGACATCAAAGAACTTGGAGGACATACGTAAGTTCCCATCATAGAAGCTCGTATGGATATCTAACATTTTGATTCATCTTAGGCTTGTTTGCATGGCAGTGTACACTGATCCAGACGGTGATCGTAAATATCTTCCGCAATACTTCAAGTTCACGACCTCTAATCCTGTTTCCGTCAGAACAAAGGTATTTGATCTCTACATATTTTGCTATGTTTTTATCGGCACTTTACAGGTTAGAACAGTCAAGGTAGGCCCTATGCTGCAAGCTTTTGCTTTTCTAGCGTTTGAACACGACAGGATACAACATTTCTCGAGGCGTGCATAGAAAACCAAACCAAGTCTCACCTCTTTATGGACCAAGTTAGATTTGAGCCTGCACCGCCTTGGAGTGTCACGACTTTGGAGAACGAGGAAGAAGCTAGTGAATCAGATGGTCCCATCAGGTAAGAAGATGGAGCTTTACTATCAGCAACTTTATTTGGTAATTCTGCTCTCTGTTTTTTCTAGCGGCTATATCAAGAGCTTGAAACTGATCAATGGTAACGGCGGTGCTCGCCACTATCTCTTTCAGCTAAAGAGGCCGCCATTGGAATCCTCAGACGTTAAGTTAGAAGGCGCAAATGCCCTTGGGAAGCTTGAAATACTGTGGAGGACAACTCTTGGCGAAACCGGTCGCCTTCAAACGCAACAAATCAATGGCAGTGTAAGTGCCCGTGAGTTTTTTCATGGTGCTGATTGTTATAATTATCCAGCCAACGCCGAAAAAGCCTTTGGACGTCAAGATGACAAACTTGCCGCAGAGAATTCTAATAGAACGACCATTTCTCGTAAGTCAGTAATATCGGGGTGTGATTTGATCGTTTTTTTCGTTTTTTCCTAGGTTCGGATGGAAGTTACAAACCGGTCAGAACAATTCACTGGACCGCTAAGAGTTGTCATGTCTGAGACCGATGACAATGGTACACCCAGGACAGTTCTCATGAACGGACTCTTGAGCTTGGTAAGGTCCTTTCGTTTTTCTTTTCCTAGCATTTTTACAATGAGCATATAATCTCAGATGGTTCCTCCACTGGCCCCTCTCGCATCGACCGAGCTGGAAGTTGTAAGTGAGCATAAGTTCTCGTATTCATGAAGATTTAACGGGCACTCTCTCGCAGAACTTGGTGGCGGTAGCCGCAGGTGTGCAGCGAATAGCGGGGATTTGTCTAGTGGACGCACGAGACGGCAGACAAGTTGAGTTTGTGCCTCCAACCGAGGTAAACTTCGAAGCTTTGCTGTTCGTAGCTAATCGGTCACGCTGAAACACAGGTATTTGTGGAGGCAGAGTGAGTTTTTTCTTGCCTCCATGTACAGCCAGGTACTGTTTAAAACGATAAACTCTTTCTTCAATCTGGAAAATTCTAGTTTCCATTAGAGATGATGTTAATCAATTGTGGTTTGTTCCTGCGCGGTTACACTGAAACATCCAGACGCCACGTTGCATTTCTATAAAAGCACGCAAATGTGATCGTCAAAGAAATCGCAAGATTATTTGGAGGGCAATGACATTGTCAATGGGGCCTTTGGATCGATCGCTTCTCTCGCGTCCCGTTTATCATCCTCGTCCAGCAGGAGCTCTCTCGCGCTGCCAAGGCCTCGGGGTTAAGGCGGCCTCCACACAGCACTCTCGGAGATCGCCAAGGCCACAAAATGTTCCAGGAAATCTCTACGTGGGTAAGCAAGCAAAACGTTCGTCTTCGCTCCTCAAACTTTCTCCTTGCAATTCCGCAGACCATACTTGCATCGACTGTGATACTTGCCGATGGATGGCTCCAGTTGAGTTCTCTCGTTTATTTAATTTTTTTTTCTAAAATTCGTTTTCACTGTAGAGTGTTTTCAAGCGTGTCGACGAATTATCTGCGGTACACCATCAACCCTCGTCCTCCGACGAAAGACTTGCTGCTTTGCAGGTTTGTTTGTTTGTTTGTTTGTTTTTTTTTATATTTTTTTTTCTAGCAGCGAGAAAATACTTTTAAATTTTTATTTTATTTTTCCAGGCCTTGCTATCGTGCCCGACAGCATCGATTCACACCGAGAAGCCGCAAGCCGACATAAAAAAGATACAGGCCACCTTTCCACTCGCAATCGACGAGCAAACAGCGCCAGTAAGTTTTAACAAAATCCTCTCGATGTTTCTCGTGTTTCTGATGCTTTGCGTTGTGCTTATTTGGCACAGGGAGTGTATCACTGTGGATTTCACTCGGAGAAGTCATTCGGTGCTGCCTCATACTTTCTCACACGACCAGAAGGCAACATTCTCATTGACAGGTTCTTGGTTCTTTTCCAGTTTCAAGGTTCTAAATGGGTTCTTTATCATTGCTCTCAGCCCAAGGTTCACGGAAGTTCTTGCGAAGAAACTGGAGCTCATGGGAGGAGTTCGTTATATGCTTCTCACGCACAAGCAAGCAATTTTTGTTTTCTGTTTTCATTTTTGGAAATACTCATGCCTTGGATGATTTAATTTCTACAGGGATGACATTGCTGACCACAAGAAATGGCAACAACGGTTTCAGTGCGAGCGCATCCTCCATTCCGACGACGTAAGTACTTCGCTTATTCTCTTCTCTTTGTTTTGTCCATCTCAACTTTTTTCTTCATTCCAGATACAAGAAGACACTCTAGACGTGGAGATCAAGCTTCAGGGCACTGGACCATGGGATTTCATTGGGTCGGATGTAGATCTCATCCACACTCCAGGTCACACAGAGGTACTTTCTTAAGATCAAGTTTTGTCAAGAAAGAAAATCATCTTTGGCTTTTCTTCCTTAGGGATGTGTGTCCCTTCTTTGCAAACCAAAGCGAACATTGTTCCCAGGAGATCATCTTTTCACAGACGAGGGCGGCAAAGACGTCTTGATCTCTCATAAATACTTGTTTTACTCTCGTAAGCACTTTCTTTGATTTTGTGTTCTCCTCACTATCCATTTTTCCAGTTGAGCGACAGGTTGAGAGTCTGCGGCTTCTCATTCCTCTTGACTTCATATGGGTTTTGCCAGGTATTTCTCGCAAAAAGCATCATTAGAAGCCTTGAGTTGTTTTTTTCCAGGTCATGGGAGACGAATCAAATTTAAAAATGTGGAAGACAAAAATGCAGCCCTTGAGTCCCTTGTAGCTCAGGAGGAAAAACTTCTAGTCTAATTAGTTTTGAAAGATATGTGTAAATCTTTTAGTTTTATTAATAGAATATAAATGTATAGCCGACCATACTCATGCCCAGATTTATGCACTTTGACTTTCTAGTCTTTATATTATGTTTATTTTAACTTTATAACTTTTATTTGTGCAGTTATTTGTGATTTTATGTTCTTCAATATATATTTTATAACATTCTGTTTATCATATTTAAATTTCAAAGTATTTTGCTTGATATGATTCTATGAAATTCTTTTCATCTAGAGTATATAGAGACTTAAACCTCAATGCCCTATCAAACAAAGTACAAATTAGTGTTATTTAAGCCAAAGATGTTTATTTACTTGTTTTACCCAAGTAAGTTGAGTTGAGAAATTATATCATGAATAATGTTTAATTTAATAAATAATATTTCTGTATTCCAAGCTCTCATAAAACTTAATGTAACATTAAAATAAGACGTTAAGCACTAAATTATATTATTGAGATAATTATTTCCCTTTGGAATTAAGCTACCCAATTATTAATTTAAAGTGGACAGTAACCTTGTACTTTTTTGCTTAATACTTATTATATACTTAATATAATTTTTTATATTTGACATTACTTTGGTTTATATAGTTTATTTATATTTTTTCTGCTATTAAAATCTTATTTATATTTAAAATATTTATTTATTTTAAAAAGTAATATATGAAATTCTATTTTTTATATTTTATTACTAATTATTTGTACTCCAGAAGATTTGAAGTCTTAAATCTTCATAACATTTCAAAATTTGCTACTACAATTAGCTTTAATAGGACAAATTGATGGTTAGAATCTGTTTACCTTTTATGTGGAATTTTTTATATAATAATAGATGCAAAACCTAAAGTGTTGGAGAAAGTAGCTATACGTGAGTGATTCACTTTTGAGATCTGTGTGCATATCATGTTAAAATGGAAAAATTGCATAAAAGTTGTTTTATTTGTAAATATGCCCAGGCCATTAGACATGGGATAAAAATTTTGGGTCAATCCTGACAAAAAAAAGCATTATAAATTGGATTTTGACAAAGTCCTTGTGAACATCATTCACAGCCACAAAAGCAATGGACACTCTTGCATTGCTAGGAATAGAGGATAGAAGCCATATAAGTTAGCAGCCGTCAAGGCCACTAAAAGCTTACATGAAGACAATAATGTGTGAGTGCAATTGATGAACTTAATGAAAATCTTAGTATGGTCCAGTGCCTAACCAAGTGCTTGTGACTCAAAACATTCATCTATCTGATTCAATCCCCTTGGGCTGGCTTGTCAATCACTAAGCCCCTTGTCATTAGTGGTACTCTTCTTTCACTCTCTATTCTCATTATTGTTCTATAAGGCCACACTTCCAGAGAGAAGCATGGAATGCTTCAAAAGATCTCATTCTAATGAGTGACAAACATGAAGTGGAGATAAATATAATTTTTCACATGGAATGTTTCATGTTTCCTGGTTACTCTTAAAAAGTACTTAAATAAATCTTCTACTCCTTACAACTGGTTGATATAAAATATTAAGTACATAGTATTACCAATAATTTACTAGTTTATTTCATAATTTATTGTTACATCTTTTGTTTCACGATGCATTCTCTATGTTAGAGTTGAAAAGTTATCATAGACCACTTCCCTTTCCAACATTATCAATTCCTTTATTACTCTTTTTTAATATAATATTACATTATTTAATACTTCCGTATTCCATAAGTTTAGATATAATAAAGAGTTTAGTTGGGACTTTTTGTAAGAGTCCAACTTAGAAGTCTGCTGTGAGTGATGTTGATCGGCATGCGGCCTCGCAGCTAAGCGGGTGTGGCAAGCAGTGACCTGCAAAATGGGTGTCTCTCCGATTCTCAAGGTCTGGGTTTTGATTGATTGATTGATTGATTCTGCTTGATCAGTTTCATACCAGGGCGAGCAGGTTGTCGTCGTGGTTCTGGAGGATGGGCGAGTTACATACTTTGGAACTCAAGGGTCTCAGGAAACAGGGAGCCTTTGTTTCTCTATTCATCAGTCGCAGTTGTCGGCCAAGTGCTGCGAGCTGGAGTCGGCCCATTTGCATGCTCATGTTCATCGCGGTGAAGAAATAGAGAAACTCCTACTTGAGCCAGTTAAGTATCGCCTGATAATTTGAAGGTTCCTTTAAGTTTGACAAGTGATCGGCTTGTCAGTGTTCTGTGCCGGATTTTTCCAGCAAGATGGTGGAGGAGAAAACTCATAAACATGGGGCCGAATGCGGTCATCAACGAATAGCACACGGTGACCATTTCGATTGGCTCGTTCCGCTGACTGAAGATTCCTTCACCTTAAGTCATGTGCAAGACTCCAAAGAATTTGAGCACGGCCAACTTCTGAAAGTCGGGGAGTCGCTTGCGAGATTGAACGGCCAGCCGAATCATATGGTGGAAGTGTTCAAGTACGAGGCATCCCAAACTTCTTCACGTATCGATGAGAGTGCTGAGGAGGTGAGGATGGATGTCAACGATAAGCAGCCGATCGCTAGAACAAGATTGAACGTTCTTGGGATCTGCTGCGCTGGGGAGATTCCTGCTATCAAAATGATTTTGGAACCGCTTTCTGGTGTTGAAGACGTTTCAGTAAACTACACAACTCGCACCGTTACTATACTTCACAACCCGTTATTGACACCGGCTTCACAGCTCGGTAAGTTGCTAGTTTCGATCGATTGGTTCACACTCTTAACAGTTATACACAGCTAAAGCTCTTAATGAGGCTAGGATGGAAGCCAGTGTCCTGCACGAAGGACCACAAAAGAGTAACCCTGAGTACAAGAGGAGCCTATGGTTACTTGTTTCTGGTGTTCTGCTGGTTCTATCCTTTCTTTATCTGTTTTATCTCCCACTTCAATGGTTTGCCATTGGGACAATTCTATTAGGAGCTCCTGGGATTGCTCTGAAGGCCGTAATGTCATTGAAGCGCCTGAGACTCGATGTCAATGTGTTAATGCTAATTGCCAGTAAGCAGGAAGCTGTGTTTTTTCAAGTTCATAACGCTTTTTTGCCTGTGGCAGTTATCGGTGCAATGGGACTACAAAATTATATAGAGGCCGGCTCTATTGTATTTCTCTTTTCTTTCGCAGATTGGCTTCAATTACGTGCCGTGAAGAAGGTTTATCGAGATTCATCAAGCTAGTCAAATGCTTATGCTACTTTTTTCAAAAATCTTTTTGATATTGCAGGCTAATGAGGCCTTGGCTTTTGCTGCGGATCTTGTTCCTCAGAATGCCACACTTGCCGATAGTGGTCTCCCAGTTCCATTGAAGGAAATCCAGTTGGGAACGCTGATTTCTGTGAAAGCCGGAGAGATGGTTCCAATCGACGGAGTCTTGATTTCAGGGGAGAGCTCTTTAAATGAGAGTAGTCTAACAGGAGAATCGAGACCTGTCGCCAAGCATGTAGGGGATAATGTTTGGGCTGGCACAGTGAACTTATCTGGTAAGCGGGGGGCTTTTAGTCAGCTATATCTAAGTATGATCATACATTTTGCAGGATATTTGGTTATAGAGACCATTTCAACAGCGGAAGACTCTGCGCTTTCAAGGATGATCAAGCTTGTTGAAGAAGCACAAAGCAAACGTACACATACTGAGCAAGTTGTGGAAACATTCGCAAAGTACTACACTCCTGGTAAGCTTTTCTTCCTCTTCCAAGTACTAACTTCATGTCCCACTTTCCTCGCAGCCGTTTTTCTCGTCGCGACAGCTACAGCACTGATCCCACTTCTTCTGTATACAAGCTATGAGAGCCACTGGCTCTATTTATCCCTTATCATAGTGGTGGTGGCTTGCCCTTGTGCTCTCGTGATATCCACTCCTGTCACCGCAACGTGTGCAATTGCTGGGGCTGCAAAGCTCGGGCTTATAATCAAAGGAGGTGACTGTCTCGAGCTTCTAGCAAGTATGAAGGTGGTAGCCATTGACAAGACGGGTACACTCACGGAAGGCCATTTCAGAGTGCTGGATTTTCATGTTGTTAATAGCACTGAGACCCCCAAGTCGGAGCTCCTACAACGGTAAGCTTCTTGTCTTTTGACGGCAAATGATCTAAAGGAAGTGTTCAATATAGGATTGCTGGCGTAGAGAGCCATTCCATTCATCCAGTAGCTACTGCCTTTGTTGGATACGTTCGGATACTCGGAATCAAACCTTCGGAAAATGTTGCAGACTTTAAGATTTTGGAAGGTGAAGGAGTGTCAGCTGTTGTTGATGGCCACCTGATTGAGATTGGAAACACTAGGCTGGCGTTTCGGCGGAACTGGCGCACTTGTACGTGTTGAGTATGATTATATGTTCATTCATACTTTTCTGACATATTGTTGGCACTGGCAGCGATTTTTTCACAGCATCTGGAAGAATATGAAAAGCAAGGCGCTACAATTTGCTGGGTTGGCGTCAATGGCGAACTGGTGGGGCATTTCAGCGCTGCAGACAAAGCCCGATCGGAAGCACGTGAAGCCATTGAAAACATAAAGGTGCGGTCTGTTCTGTCGAGAAGATAGTAAAACCATATTCTTCTCTTCCTTCCAGAACTCAGGTGTTACGGTCCTAATGCTGACTGGGGATAACCAGAATGCGGCTGCTTGCGTGAGCCATCAGGTACTTCCTTGAAGTAACTCTTTTCGTTTTCTTTTCTAAAGCGTTTCGTTTTCCCTTTTACAGTTAGGTGGCATTGAGTTTCATGCCGAGCTACTTCCCCGAGACAAAGTCATGATCATTGAACAGCTAAAAGCTTCAGTCGGCACGACAGCAATGGTTGGAGATGGCGTGAACGATGCACCTGCATTAGCTGCTGCACATATCGGCATCGCAATGGGAGTTGCCGGCTCCGCCATGGCAATGGAAATAGCGGACATTGCCTTGATGATGAACGATCTTCGGAGGTTGGCAGTATTAAGAACAGTGGGGAAAAGCTACAGGAATGTGGTCATGCAGAACATATTCTTCTCCCTCTTCACAAAGCTGGTTGTAGTGGGGCTAGCGGTTGCAGGATATACACCACTATGGGCTGCGGTATTGGCAGATGTCGGAACCTGCGTTTTAGTCACCTTCAACGGTATGCAGCTGCTTTTCAAACATCAGAGCTCAAGAATGTCTAAGCCAGAGGAGGCTAGTGACGGTAGCCGGAATGGTTTGAAGGACAGCGATGCAAAGCAGGACGCAAAACCATCTGTCACATGCAAAACAGGCTGTTGTGCGGCTTCACAAGCTGGCGGTAGCGAAGAAAAGCAGGATGGAAAACCATCTGTCAATTGCAAAACAGGCTGTTGTGCGGCTTCACAAGCTGGCGGTAGCGAAGAAAAGCAGGATGCGAAACCATCTGTCAAATGCAAAACAGGTTGTTGTGCGGCTTCACAAGCTGGCGGTAGCGAAGATGTTCCCACAAAGCAGGATGCACGCTCTGAGTGCAAGACGGGTTGCTGTAGGCTTATAAAGCCGAAGCTGGTTGCCGATAGTAATGTCGACGATAGTAGCCCGGTGGTCAAGACGAAATGTCAGCGCTCTTGTTGCTTTAGAAACAGTGACAAGCAGGGCTTGCAAGTACCACTCCTCGCTGACCACGTATGATGCTCAAGGTGCCGAACTGCACCACGGTCTGCCTATTTGCTCGTTATGCGACTATCCTTGACAACTAGCTCATACTCTTCAACACTCTCTAAGAGCAACAACATAAGAGCTTTTGGAGAGCTATCCTGCTCATTATCATCTCATGAACTATCCTGCTGACAATGAGTAAGGGAGCTTTCTCTTACTCCATTGTGAGCTTGTGCTCACATTAGTGTAAAACTATAAGAATGTTACTGTATGATCTATCCATGATCATATAAGATATCAAAATAACATCTTCCTCGAGATGGTCTTAATTTAAGTTTAACAGAAGCCCCAAAATATCATATAAAAGAAATCCAAAAGACTGTTTTTACTTGTTGAGCGCTTCGGCCATCAACACATAAGCGGAGCTCTTCCTGTCGTTTAACGAAACCAAAGAGTCAAAAGCAACCTTTGCCACCTCGATATCTTCCACGCTCTTGCACGACCCTAACAAAGTCGTCCATGTCACTGCACTCGCCTCAAAAGGCATCGCTTCCACCATAGCCAGCGCTTCCTCCACCCGGTTGGCTCGCCCCAGAAGATCGACCAAGCAGTGGTAGTGCTCGATGCTCGGTTGGATCCCAAACTTTCCAGGCATCGCCTCCAAGATGTGCTTCCCTTTGTCAGCGAGGCCGGCATGGCTGCAAGCCGTGAGAACCGATACCAGAGTGAGCGAGTCGGGCTTGAGATACAGACCAGCACCATTGCTCTCTCCTTGTTCTCTCGCGGCTGCTTCGTCCAGCATCTTCGAGAAAGTCTCGAAAACTTTGCCGCTGTCTCCCTGCCGAGCATAGGCCGCGATCAAAGCGTTCCAAGTCACTGTCCCGCATGGACCCGAGCAGTCGAAAGTTCGTTGTGCCCCGGCTACGCTGCCGCATTTCCCGTATAGATCGACCAAGCAGCTCACCACCACCGGGTCTTGCCCGATCCCGTGCCGGCAAGTTTCCTCGTAGACGGCCTCTCCGGATCGCAGGTCCGAGCAGACCGCACAGGCCTTCAATGCGGCAGCGAAAACTCGGACATCCAGGTGACACCCTTCCGACTTCATGAGCTGGAAGATCTCTAGAGCTGCTTCGCCGTCACCATTCTCGGCGTATCCCAGAACCAGTGTCGTCCACAGAACAACGTCGCGAGTAGCGCTTGGAGCTTTGTCAAAGACCCTGCGGGCGTCCACCATGCTTCCACACTTTGCGTACATGTCGATGAGGCTGCTGGCAACATAGATACTGGACTGGCAGCCACTTCGAGCACGGGAGTCAACGGCCATGCCTTTCTCCAGAGAGATGATCTTCGTGCCAGTCCTTGACTCGACGCTTTCCCTGGACGCGAGTGAAGAACAGGCTCTGATCACACCAACGAACGTCCAAGAGTCCGCTACGCCGCCACAGCATTGCATGAATTGCTCAAACCAGCCGAGAGCCATTGCGTCATCTCCGTTTTCAGCATACCCGAGGATCAACGCGTTCCAGCAAACCACGTTGAGCCTCGAAGTTCTGTCGAACACGGCCTGTGAGTCTTCCATGCTCCCACACTTCGCGTACAAGTCGATCAAACTGCTAACAACGTGAACGTCCATGTCAGAAAAACCACATTTTGAAGCTTCGGAATGAACGCACATACCTCGCTGCAAGCTCTTGATCTTGACAAGTTTACCTTCGACTTGAGTAAGCTGTTCGATCGAGGCAAGGCCAGAGCAAGCCTTGAGAACTGCCACAAACGTTTGAGAGTTGGCTCCATGGAAGCCGACACCGCTAGCGAAGATCCCGAAAGCCAGATCAAGCTCATCGTTCTCGGCATATCCTTGTATGAGCGAGGTCCACAAAACCACGTCGTGATCTCGGCCAGGTATCCCATCGAACACTCTGCGAGCTTCTTCCATCCTTCCACACTTGGCATACATGTCAACCAAGCTGCTCGCTACGAATATATCCGTCTCGGAGCCCGCCATGGAGTGAATAGCCATGCCTCTCTCGAGAGAAAGCATCTTCACAACCTGTCCGGCAACCAAGCTTGCCTTCTCCTTCACAGCTACACAGCCACAGGCCTTGATAGCAGCGACAAGAGCTCGACCATCCACCGGGAAGCTCCGGAAGAAACGCTCAAAAATCTCTAGAGCTGTCTCGCCATCTCCGCTTTCCGCATAGCCGGAGATCAGCGCTGTCCAAGACACTGCATTTCTCTCGGGCATTCTCTCGAAGATCCTCCTCGCATCGAGCAAGCTCCCACACTTGGCGTACATGTCCACCAAGCTGCTAGAGACGTAGAGATCCCGCTCAAAACCATCTTTGGCTGCTTGGGAGTGGAGTGCCATGCCCAGCTCCAGCGATCTCTTCTTCACGAGAACTCTCCCATCCAGAAGCGTCGCCTCTTCTCGCGCCGCCAACCCAGCACACGCCTTGACAGCGGCAACAAACGTCCGAGAGCTGGAAGAACACCCATTCTCTTGCTGGAACTGCTCGAAATATCCCAGAGCGATCTCGCTGCCCGGACCCCCAGCCTCGGCATAGCCACCGATGAGCGCGTTCCACGAGACGACATCGCGAAATCCCATGCCCTGGAAGACCTCGCGGGCCTCCTCCATGCTCCCGCATTTGGCGTACATGCTGATGACGCTGTTGGCCACAAACACGTCCGATTGGAGCAGCCCGCGCTGGATTGCGACGCCATGAATCCTCCTCACCTCGCCAAGATCCCTCGACGCGCCGGCGGCCTTGAGCGCAGCGATTAGAGCGCTCTTGAGCGATCTGGTGCCATTGCCGCGGGGTCGAGAGCTCTGATCGGACCTAAAATCGGGGCAGCTCGCGATCGATTGCGCCAGCATTGAAAGACATCTCACCTGTAGAGCGTAAACCCTAAAACTAAGAGAATAGAGAGAATATGGCCTATGCAGGTTTCGAACCTGCGACCTTGGCGTTATTAGCACCACGCTCTGACCATCTGAGCTAATAGGCCTACTTTTAAATTGAAAAGAATATTCCACTTTAATTGGTGTTTTTAGGGTTTGAGTTTCTTGGAGCTCAGTTCTTAGAGCATGGAATCCAGCAGCTAGCCGATTAAGGTGAAATATAGGGGGATTTTGCTATGGAAGAGAAGCCTGGTAAGCTACATTCGATCACTCTACAAGGTCTTTCTCCTCTTGTTTCTTTTGTGAAGATTTTGGATGGAGATGAAGACGCTTCTCCCGCTGCGCTCTTCGGGCAGCTCCTATGAGTGGGCCGTGGGTGTCCAGCGCGTGCTAGCGGATCTCTCCCGGGGACCGGCGGCTAGCCGTGTCAAATCCGGGGAGAATCTCTTCGATTGCATTCTCGAAATGCGGCACGAGACGGGAATGCAAGACTATGCCATGCCCGAGAACGCAAGTCGTGGCTTGGATTTGTTCTTTGGAAAGGTCAGCTAGGTACGCTTTGCTTCCCAAGCTTTGTGTTTTCTTACCTTTTGCTTCCTTCAGCTTCTTCCTCAAAATTTGGCCCGCGAGTTCTTTCATACAACTTTGCCTTCCATGGCCAAGCTTGCGCTCGATCTTCCCAATCTTTTGGATGAGCATGTAAGCAAGGGGCAGCTCTACGGGTTTGGAGTGGAGTCAGGTGTGATGCCAGCTTCTTTGTTCCATTTTATCTAGTTTTCTCCTTTTGTTTTCCAGGAGTTCATCGCGTGTCTCTTGACGTGTTCATTTCTTTGCCTCTTTCCTTCTCAAGATAGAGACAAGTATAATCTTCCTGGGATCAACTTGAACAAGTTTTATGCGTTAGTGTTTGTTCCCTGTGTGTTTTTCTTTGGTTATTTTTTTCTTCCTTCTCTTACACGGCTGGTTCATTCCCTGTGTGTTTTTCTTTGGTTTTTTTTTTCTTCCTTCTCTTACACGGCTGGTTCATTTCGTTTCAGGTGCATATACGAGAAAAACCACGATCGAGCAAGCCAACAACACAAAATGTTGTGCCTACTGCACTACTTTGAACGAGTGTGCCAAGGGATGCCACAGGGAATGGTTTCTTACGAGCGTAAGGTCCTGCTTCCTTGGCAAACTAGCGACATTCTTCGTTTCTGGAGTACATCCAGGGTACCTTTGTGTAAATTTCAGGTACGCACGTCATTCCTCTTGCAAGATTTAATTTTCTTCATCAGGTGTCTGCGACTGGCGACATTAGCAATCACATTGGTGGCGAAGCCTTGGAGGTTGATTTTGCAAACAAGTATCTTGGCGGTGGCGCTCTTAGAGCTGGCTGTGTACAGGTAATCTCTTCTTCATTCACGGAAAATTAACCGCTAGGGCTCACCACGCAGGAAGAGATTCGTTTCATGACCAATCCCGAGTTGATTGCGGGAATGCTGTTCTTGCCTATGATGGAAGACAACGAGTCCATAGAGATATTTGGAGCTGAATGCTACTCCAAATACGAAGGGTAAACTCCTTCAAGTTTCCATTTCAGTTGCTTAAGTTTTTGTGCTTTCAGTTATGGAAAAAGCTTCACTTTTGTTGGCGACCATCAAGACGAAAGGCCACGAGATCAATGGGGCCGACGAATGACGCGGATTGTAGCTATAGATGCACTCGCAAGGCCGGGTGCTCAGCAATACAAATCTGTACTGATCCTACGGTAAGCTGGCTAGTTTTGTCTCGTGACTTCTACAGCTTTTTTTTTGCAGCGAGGTGAACAAAGCCTTCTGTGGGTTTCTGGACCGACATGGAGGTGAAGATGTTGGCGTAGCAACTGGAAACTGGGGATGCGGTGCCTTTGGTGGTGATCTGGAGCTCAAGAGTTTAATTCAATGGTTGGCTGCTTCGCAGGTAATAGCCTTTCACGAAGCTTCTTCCAAGAGAGTAAAGTCGTGCTTTGTGCAGGCTGGGAGAGCATACGTGAAGTATTACACTTTTGCTGATCCACGCGCTCAGCGGCTGGAAGAGGTAAACAAGGTATTCTTTTTTTCAAGTTTCTCACTATGATACAGATTGTGGAATGGATGTCACGAGAATCCTGGACAGTGGGAGATCTGTGGAACATCCTGCTCGACTATGGAAGCAAAAGAGAAGCTGGTGTAATCGACTGTGGCTTGTTCGAGTGGCTTCGACCGGTCACTGGACTGAGAGCTCTATTCTCACAGTTGACGAGCATCTTTAGCAGGCGAAGCTCGGTCTAGAGGACCAACAATCACCCTCTTGCTCGGCCACTCGACAACCTTCTCAAAGTACTCGCACGGGACACACCCCTCGAATCCTTCGGTGAGAAGCACATTGTTGTCCGAGACGTAGAACTTCATCCCGTCCGCCATAGCCTTCTCAGTGTCGAGGTAAATCAGAACTTGGCAAGAGCTTCTCATTCCGCTGATGACTCCATTCTCGTCAGGCAGGCCCGTGGCGAAGTGGACGTGGTTTCGTCCCATGACTTTGAGACCACTCTCCAAGATGCTGGGAAGAGCGTGCTTGTAAGTTCCGTGGATACAAACTGGGATCTTGTCCGTGGACGAGATCTCTCGCAGGAGGTGGTCGGAAAGAACCTCTTTGATCGAGTGCCCCTGGTTTGCGCGGATGTAGAGCGTCCCATCCTCCCGGGTCGTCGAGAAGCGCTGCTTGTTATCCTGCTTCACGGCCTGGAGAACTTCCTCCACGGAGTGAGAGCTGAGTGGTATCCCAGCTCTAGTTTTCATTCCAATCTTTAAGAGCTCGTCCACCTTGCAGTAGCCATCGCTCCGGAGATCCAGATTAAAAGCCGCAGCTTCGTGCCTCAAGATCTTGGTCATCGCTCGGCCTAGAGCATCGATTGGATCGGCCTCTCCTCCGGATCCTCTTCTGAGTGTTTGTGGGCGATTGGAGAGAGATTTGAATCGAGGCTTACCCGGATTTTTCGAGGACGCCATGATCGATCGGCTGCATAGCCAAAACGCCGCTTTCCCGGCCGCTAGCATCACACCCAAGAACAAACTTAGGGCTATGGCTTTAAACTCGTGGCAATGTCACTGGTAAATGCTCAGGCAATCACAGGGCTATCTGCGATGGATTGTGGAGAATTTCCGATCGTGCAAGGAGTGGCCGTGGGTGGATTCTGCGAGAACTTTGCTCGATCAGGATATTGCCAATGGATCCTCGATCAAGCAATCCCAATTCTCAGTGCCCAACATTGGATTGATACTCGATGGGCCAGCATTCGATCGGGAGGGCGCCCAATTCGGGGTTTCCAGCAATGGATCGTCCATTGAGCCGTGCTGGGTGGATCAGGAGCTCGGATTCTCGGAGCCCAACACCGGGCTCTATGGATCGCTGCTCAAGCGCTGCGTGGATCGCCGGGATCTTGCGGCCGGGAAGCGCGTCCATGCGCACGCTGTGGAGAGCGGTTATGCCAGAGATTCGTACGTGGAGAATTTCTTGATCCAGATGTATGGAAAATGCCGGCGAGTGGATCTCGCCCGCGCGGTGTTTGACGCGATGCCCAGGAGGGATCTATTCTCCTGGAACATCATTATCACAGCATATACCCAGAATGGGCATTCACTGAAAGCGCTAGAACTCTTTCAAGTAATGCGAGACTCCGGGATCAAACCAGATGTGTTCGTGCTCTCTAGCGCGATGGGAGCGTATGCCCGGTGTGGGCAGATCGATCGAGCAAGAGAAATTTTCGATGCGATGGAGACGAGAGATCCGGCAAGCTGGACCGCGATAATCTCTGCATATGCCCAGCAAGGGGATCCAGCCTTGGCTATGGAGCTCTACTGGCGGATGAATCTCGAGGGAATGGAGCCCAATCGGCTAACATACGTGAGCTTACTGGGGGGCTGCGCGAGCCTTGGCGCGCTAGATCACGGGAAATCGATCTACTCGCGGTTTCTGGCAAGGGGATTCCAGGCGGATCTCATGATCCAGAGCGCGCTGCTCAATCTCCACTCCAAATGCGGCAGCCTCGAGGACGCGAGAGCGCAATTCGCGACGATCACTGACCGGGACGCGGCGGCATGGACGAGCATGATCGAGGCATCCGCGCGGCATGGGCGGTACGTGGAAGCGGTGACTCTCTACCGCGAGATGACGCTCGATGGCGTGACGCCCGACGCGGTCGCGTACGTGGCGGTGCTGGGGGCGTGCGCGGCGCTGGGTGCCGCCGCGGTACACGTGGGACGTTCGGTCCATGCCGCGCTGCACGCCGCTGGGCTCGGGCACCACACGCGGGTGTCCACCGCGCTGCTTAACATGTACGGCCGGTGCGGCAGCTCGTGCGACGCGCGGCACGCCTTTGAGCGGATCCACGCCAAGGACGTGGTGGCGTGGAACGCGATGCTTCGCGCGCTCGCCCGCCACGAGCGGTACGCCGAGGCGTTTGATCTCTTCCTCGCGATGGACGCGCCGCCGGACTCGATCACGTTTGGGACGCTGCTGACGGCGTGCTGCTGCGGCGCGGCCCTGGGCCATGGGCGGCGCATCCACGAGCGGCTTAACCTCCACCATGCCGTCGGCGGTATCAAACTCGAGGTGGAGATGTACAACCTCCTGCTCAACATGTACGCGAAGTGTGGCAGCATCGAGGAGGCCCGCGCGGTATTCGAGCGCATGCCCGCGCGGACTCTCGTGGGCTGGAATGCCATGGTCGTGTGGTACGCGCGGTACGCTATCCCCAGGGAGGCGCTGCATCTCTTCCAAGAGATGGCCTCGCTCGACGGCCTGGAACCCGACGTTGTGAGCTGCATTGGCGCGCTGGCGGCATGCGCGAGCCTGGGCTACCTCACCGAGGGCCGCGCGGTACACCGCGCATGTACCGCGCGGATCATGACCGGCGACGACCAGCGCCGCGACGTCGTGCTGTGGACGAGCCTCGTCAACATGTACGCGAAATGTGGCGAGATTGAGGAGGCGAGCTTGGTTTTCGAGGAGATGGACGAGCGCAACGCAGTCTCGTTTAACGCGATGATGGCGGCATTCGCCCAGAATGGGCATTTGGATCGGGCATTGGGGCTGTACCGACGGATGATCTGCGAGGAGGGCCTTGACGCCGACGTCGTGACGCTGCTGTGCTTGCTCGTGGCATGCAACCACGCTGGGCTTTACGCGCAGGGCAGGGATCTCTTCGTCCAGCTGCGCGGCGACCACGAGTGGATCGCGCCAGCGGTGGATCACTACCACTGCCTGGTGGATCTGCTGAGCCGGGCGGGGCGGATAGATGTCGCGGAGGAGATCTTGGTGTGGATGCCGTTCCAGCCGGGGGCGATTGGGTGGAAATCGCTGCTGAATGGGTGTGCCGTGCACGGGGATCCGGTGCGAGGGGCCAGGGCCGCCGCAATCGCGTGCCGCTTGGATCCGGTCGACTCGTCCCAGTACGTGCTGCTGTCCAATGCGTATGCCTGGAATGATCTCGAGGATGTGAGGAAAACGCTGGATCTCTGCGAATCGCAAGAAATGTAAGAATCGAGAGAGTTCTACGATTGATTTCTATGTAAGATCAACGCGAATGATCTTGCACTGGGCATCGTTCTTGCAACTTTGTGCTGGGCTCTCGAATCATCCCTGGTAGAATGTGTTCTTGGTGCCGGATCCAGTGGCTGCCGCTGTGTTGGCATCGCCCCTCCTTGGTGATTCTCACGCCCGTGTCCTCCTCGATCACTTTCACATTCCTGGCTTGTTCGTCCTTGAGCTCGCCGGCTCCATTTCTCACAGATTCACAGTTTAAAATACAGCATATTCAACAGAATATGCTGTAGTATATTCTTTAGTACTTCTGCAGATTACATACTTTTGAAGTTATTACTATACTTATTATTGTAAAGGCCTATTAGCTCAGTTGGTCAGAGCGTGGCTCTAATGAGGCTAAGGTCGCAGGTTCGAAACCTGCATGGGCCATTACCTTTTTATTGTTCATGGTTTCAGTTTTCGAAATTACTTATTGAAACTTGGAAGTTGAATCCAGGTTACCATACTTTCATTCTCTTTAGCTCGGGTTCAAGTGAAAGTGGTGATGGTGGCTCCTCTTTCTTTTTCACACTCATCACAGCATTGGCCACTTCCTCCTCTGTGGTTCCAAACAGATCAGGCCTCGCCGGAGCCAAGCTCATGACGTTTCGCGCGATCTCCTCGTTGCTGGCAAGCGTGCCCAAGTTTCTCCGCTTGCTCATCATCCTTTCCTTCTCCTCCTTGAACTTGGGATGAATGAGCGAGATCCTCATGTGTTCCTCCATCTTGCTCACGGGTATCAACTCTGAAGTTATCGGAGAGATGACCGTCTTGGTATGCGCATACTTGTCGCCCGTCTCGATCATCTCCTCGGGCCTCTTCCAGTTCCTCACAATCGTCATCGGTGGCTCTTCGCCCGCCGGGACAATCACTTGGAAAAACTCCTCGGCATTTGCTCTCCGCTCGTCGGGGAAATGATCCTCAAGCAACGTGATATCCATCACCTCCTTGCGTCTGATCACGTCCATCTGCGTCATCGGAGACGGCAACGCAGCGTCCTCCTCGTCCACGAACTGGATCGTCTCCACCACCACAAACTCATGCCAGTCTATGCTGTTCATCCGCTCATCGTCTTCCTCGCCCTTGTCCCTCAACTCCTTTTGCGATTTCTCCCATTCGGCACGGTGGAGGCACCGCTCCAGGATAACGCTCTTGTCCAGCTCTCGCTTGAGCTTGTCGATCAGCGCCGTGGGAGCTTCCAGCAACTTGGAGTACGAGTGGCACAAGCCCGTGAAGATCTTGTGCAAGCTGCTCTCCGGTTTGAGGAAGCTAAACTGGAGGTTGTAGTGTTCCCTGCTTGCCAGTCCGGTAAGAAACTCGCTGCCATGTCTAGCCGCGAAGATCGCCGTGAGCTTGATGATGTCTACGTCCTTTGCAGAGAGACCCTCGGGGAAATCGAGAAGGAACTCCTCCGGCTCCGGCTCTTGCAGCTCCACCACCTTGGAAGGCTCGGTGCTCTGCAAATCTTGCAGGAGAGTATGAAACTTTCGCGAGGATGGATGATCCTCCAACGGCGGTGGCTTGGATTGAGCTTGCACAGCAGCTGTGATCGAAGATGGAGCGCCGGAGCTCTTCGCTTCCGAGACTTTGTGCTGGTAATACGCGTGGTAGGGATCGGAGGGTTTGAGGAAGCTGAACTTGAGGATCTGATTGTCAGCCGTGATCTTGCGCTCGAAGTCGACACCATTCCTGGCCACAAAGTGCGCCGTCTTATCGACGATACATCTGATGCCAGGGGGAGGATGGATCATACCTGGCTGTGATCTCGAAGCGATCGACGCTGCCGCCATTTGGAAATCCAATCGCGAAGAACCCTAGCCCAGAAAAAGGTTTATAAACCTATCCACTCTAGCATATTCTAAAGAATATTCTAGAGCAAGAATATTCCCTGCATAGAGGGGTTTTCGTGGTTCCATGGTGAGTGCTAGGGCCGCTGTTCCATGGGATTATTCGCACAGCTAGGGGCGATCCGCTGATCGCCTCGATCGACTGTTGCGGCAGATGGATCCCGCCAGGAGGCTGAGAATTCTCGCGGTCCTGAGCTGCTGCTGCTGCTGGATTTCGTTTTGTTGCGGATCTATCCATCGCTACCAGCTGAGCCCCTTCAAGCCGTGGGACAATGGCTACACTTTCTTCGGAGGCAGCGAGGGATTGTATGCGAGCGGGAAGTCTCCGTCACATATCAAGTAAGATTCCTTCGCCCAATTACTTCTAGTGGAAGCATAGATTAAGCTTCTTCTTTCCAAGCATTCATAGATCTAGAAACTCTTGCCTTTTTTTGTTTGCATTTCCATCGTTAGTGTTTCTTTCTAGCATCCATAGCTCATTGGTCTTTGAGGTCTACACCTAGATGTAGAAAAAAGGAAGTGTAGAAATAGTGTTTCATTCTTCTTTCCTCAGCATCCATAGCTCATTGGTTTGATCTTGAAGTTAGAAAGAGAAAGACATTGTCGCCAGTAGTTTAACCTTTCGA